GTAGAAAAGATTGTGCTCACACCAGAAGCGCTGCAGCCCGTCCCAGACATGGTTCTCCACTCTGCTGATAATAGGCAGCCGTGTGTTATGGCTCAGTCGATTTCTGATGTTAGGAGCCTCACAAATGCCAGAACAGGAGGAGCAGAGGGACAGAGAGCACACAGCTGGAAGGAGTCTCTTAGCAAGAGTCCAAGTCAAGTCTCAAGTCACTCGTGGTTATGATGAATGTTGTATCACCTGCTGCGTTCAATCCAGGGAATCTGTAACTGTAACCTGTTTTTCACTTACAGAGCAAAACCATGTAATGTGCAATGCAATTGACAGCTTATGTAAGTCAACACACCCTGCAGACTCTCAAACCAGTGTAACGTTAACTAAATAAACTGTAACGTCACATGATCAACAATAAACCTGTAACCTTTTTTTCACAGAGCACAACCATGTTAGCCTAATGTACAATGTACAGCTAACATTAATTACAGTTTATAAACTCCTGTAAGTCAACACACCCCGCAGACTCTCAAACCAGTGTAACGTTAACTAAATAAACTGTAACGTCACATGATCAACAATAAACCTGTAACCTTTTTTTCACAGAGCACAACCATGTTAGCCTAATGTACAATGTACAGCTAACATTAATTACAGTTTATAAACTCCTGTAAGTCAACACACCCCGCAGACTCTCAAACCAGTGTAATGTTAACTAAATAAACTGTAACGTTACATGATCAACAATAAACCTGTAACCTGTTTGCAGTCAACGTTAATAATTAATGTGATGTCAGCCAGTGGGACGTAAATGAGTATGTTAAAGTTTGGCAAGCAAACAAACGCTCATTCATCTTTTCATAACAAACGACAGTCGGAGTTAACCTCCGGTAGGTCGTAGCTAAAGCAAAAAGCAAGCTAATGTTAGATGGCTAATGCTGGGCTAAACATGTTTACTAACCTCAGGTTACTAACATATTTTGCATTCAGCGCTTATTTGTTTGGGCCTTGTTGTATGAGGTTTTAAAGCCAAAGTTTATGATGAATGGCGCAGCAGCTGCCAGTGTTTGGTGTCCTCTCTCATGTGCAGCTATGTGCAGCAGATAAGTAGTTGTGTTACATAGGCAGGTTATAGGTAACAGAGGAAGGGGAATAACAGAAAGCTCATCAGACGTTTCCTAAAAAATAAACACTGTTCACAAGTTCAACACCTTGAGTCCGAGTCAAGTCCGAAGTCTTTTGGGGACGAGTCTAGTCTGAAGTCACTGTTTGTGTGACTTAAGTCAGACTCAAACCCGAGTCCCCATCTCTGCTACAACCCATAGATCTGGGAAAAGTAATTTAGTTAGTTTTGATTCTGTTTTGGGCTTCACCATTTGACATTAGAAATTTATATAAAAAATAGCCAACATGAGAACCACCTCCCTTGTGTATAATTACCAAGCATCCAATTGTACATTCAAATCCAAAAGAAACGTCTCCTCATAAGCTTAAAAGGACTAGTTTGTATCTCTAATTTGATTTACTAACCTCAACTCCTCTATGGTCACCACCCTCCTTTCTTTTTCTAACAACCACAAAACTGAAACCTCATCCCGCGTAGGGCTCGCTCTCCCCGGCAAAAGCCTTACCAAGATCCCAGTCCCTCTCGATTTGTCTTCTCAAAAATGCTCCACCGACGCTTAGGGCAGAGCACCCCAGGCTTCTGAGGCAGCTGTGACAACGTCTAACAGTGGAAAGAGAGGCTAGTACACCACTGCCCCCCATCAAAAGTTATTCCTCACTGTTTGTCATCATGCCTCTTGTGACTGTGTTAGAGACTGCTCCTTGCTCTGATTGGTTTTGCTTGTTTTGAGCAATGAGTGGTGGATTCTTGCAAATAGCACCAGGAGCAGTAGGAGGAGCCAAAGGAACCTGATTTATTTTTATTTTTTATACAGATTATCTGTCTCATATAGTCTAATGCTGCCAGTTTCAGCAAATATGCCAAAAAGTTATTTTTATAAAAGTGATCTACTAAACGAAAAGGAGTAAACTGACATTTAATGTTGAACACTTTTGGAATTGAGTTATAAAAGAACCCTTTTCTCCTCCAGAATGTTTTAAGTTTGTTCTAGGACTTTGATTGAAGAAATGACCTGTTAATTGCCTGCTTACATGAGAAAAAAACTTCAACTTATTTTTAATCTTCTATTTTTGCCTGTTGCACATTGCAGTGCCTCACAGTAGCCGGCCCTACTGACCTCTCATTATATTACAGCTCTCATTATATTACAGCAACATTCACAAGTAACTTTCATACTTCAGAGACACAAGCTGCTCTAGAAAAATAGACCAGATACGTAAAGACGGCAGAGTAGGGAAAAGAGCAGTGAACACAGAGCCTGTGGATACACAAAAAACACCTACATCAGAATGCCATCTGTGGATTTCAGCTCAGCATTCAACACAATATCCCCATGAAGCTGATCAGCAAACTCAGCACTCTGGGCTGGAATACCACACTGCAACTGGATATTGGAATTTCTCACAAATGGACCCCAGCCAGTTTGGATTGGCCGACACTTCCTACACTCCAGTAACACCAGAGTCCCCCCTGGGGTTGTGTGCTCAACCCCCTCCTGTGCTGTACATCCATGACTGCAACCCCCTTGACATGGAGAGAAGTCTGTTGTGAAGTTTGCAGACAACACCTTCATCATCGGCCGGATTTCAAACAACAATGAGAATTTATATCGGGAGGAAATAGATAATCTTGCAGAGAGGTGCTCAGAGAACAACCTACTGCTCAACATCAGCAAAACCAAGAAACAAAGACACACACTCCTGTCTACATCAGTGAAGCTTAGAGTTGGGCATTGTTTGATTTGAACAATTCTGATTTCAATTCTGATTCTTCCTTTTGATCCGGGTTCTTATTGATTCTCAATTCCAATTCTTCGAGGGGTGAAGTCGAAACGGGTCACATGCATATTTCACAGAGGAACATTTTATTTTGATTCAATGGTGATTTACAGTTTTTGAAACTGCAGGCCTAAAGGTGTTGATGAGAAAAGCAGGAAAATCTCTGCATGATGATGCCCTTTCATAACTGCAACCAAACCAAATAACACAACATATATAAAACTCGCCCTTGTCTATATTAACATATATAATAACTCACTACATTAAACAGTTATTGTTTAGAAATAGGAGTATATCTGCCTTCTCAGGCAGTATGCACAAAGGTTTAGCGCAGATTGTGTCGCCAGCAGTTGAGAACACCCGTTCACTAGGTGTAAAGGCCTTGACACATAAAAAATAAAAGGCCACGTCTGACAATAGACATGAGCTGATTCTACCACGAGGCAGCAGGGTCATCAGCCGTAGAAGTTGGTGGTGTCTCCTCCTACATCTGCATCTCGTTCTCTGCCTGGTCCTGGATGGACATGGTCGTACTCTTCTGTAATGACATCTTTTTTCCATCCTCATTTGCAAAAACCTCCTCCAATGGAGTCTTGGATGTTTGTTTAGCAGCAGTGGGACTAACGTTACTAGCTTTAGCAATTTGCGTACATTTATCAAGAAGGAGAGAAAATACATTACATACAGTAAGTTTTTGTTCACCACAATTTTAGCAATTTGGTCAAGCAACTTGTTTCACTACAATTTCACTTACTTGATGTCAATGAGGTACCAGTTAGCTCAGGCTTGTCTGAGGAGGACGAGGCAGGACAGGGAGATTGACGCAGCACGTTCAACATGACACTCCTTGTTGATTTGTAACTCATGCAGGCATAGGTGTTTACTCATATTAGTAGTGCATCCTCTTGTGCAAGAAATAAGTGTGTCGCAGGTGTTGCACTATACCAACCCGGACTTTTTCATATTAAAATAAAGCCACACTTTTGAGCTGCTTACTGTGCTCCATGGCTGCAACAAAACAAGCACCTGGAAGTACGGTGACCGCTACGGAAACCAGGGTATCAGAGAACCTGACATATTCATCTCACATCTCCACGCTGGTAAAGAAAGCTCAGAAACGAATGGCAACTGAATGGAAACATCACAAACTGGCATGGGATGTGCACGGCCCAGGACCAGAGGGCTCTGCAGTGGGTGATTAAACTGCTCAGAAGATCATTGATACCCATCTCCCGAGCATCAGTGATATCTGTGAGGTGAGGTGTCTACGCAGAGCCCAAAGGATACTAAAGGACAGTACCCACCCAGCCACAGCCTGTTCACCCTGCTGCCTTCTGGGAAGAGATATAGAGGTTTCTGCTGCCACCCCACCAGACTGTAGAGCAGCTTCAATAATGATAATTATCACAATATAATTTTCCTCAATAACAATATAACAAATATTCAGTAAATGTTTGATTTATTTCATTTGAATCACGGACAAATTAGCACTTAATTTTTCTATTAAGATATTTATTCTGTCTAGGAAAAGGGACAGAAAAAAGATTTTACTTAATTTTAATCATGTTTATTTGTTGAAAAAAGATTTTGAATGTTCTACCAGATTTGTCACCAGAAGTGTTTGTCATGTTCTGAACATAAAGAAAAGTTTAAAACCACAACTAACCGTCTGGTTTCTTCAACTTTCACTCATGAGCAAAAATCAGCCTTTAAAATTGAAAGAAATAATTATTTGACATTTATTGTGACAATTATCGACTGATATGAAATTTTTTCGTCCAAATTCATCCTCAGCGCTGCTCATTGCACTGCAATATAGTTTATAGTATGCTTCTGTTTACCATTCGGATTGTTTTTATATACTGTATATTGTCTGCTATGTAGCAGAAAGGAGCTACAAACCACATGTCATTTTACAACCCTGTTGTGATGGGACCATTAAAACTACCTTGTAACACACACACACACACACACACACACACTAACGTGTGGATCTAGCTTAGATTGTTGTTCTGCAGTGATCATAAACAGTAAGGTGCAGGGATTTAGGACTGGCCAGTTGGTTCATGGTTATTGTGCTCAATTGGCCCTGAGGCTAGTATTACCTGTGGTTGTCTTGTGATTTGTAATAGTTGCAGAGGTCTGTTTTCTTAATCCCTTGTGAATATACCATGTCCATAATCTGAAAGTAAAGTAAATTCAGTGTGAAGATGAAGCAAAGCAGAACCACAGCACATGTGAAATGAGCATCAGAGGAATTGATCTAGTAATGTATCAGGTGATCCCTGCTTATTATACTTTTATTTACCATGGAAACCCATGATGTTACATTAAATTACCCAGGTGAAGTCAGCCAAGTACAGCATCATTACTGTGGCAGCAGCATGGGGGCAAGTTAATTTGCATTTCAAATCTAACTCCCAGAAGATGTTGGTGCACCAACAACCACTAGATGGCATCTGCAAGCAAGTTGGAGCTCAGGAAACCTCAGAAGGCTCAGAGCCAAACTGATTAGGAGTTACAGGTAAGATCCTGATTTGATTTGATAACAGGCTGGTTCTAGTACTGAACCTTGTGGCTGGTAACACCCATTTGTGCTGAGAAGAGGTGGATGGAAATCTGTTCATCATCTGTTCTGCTGAATTATGCATTCACCTCTTAAAGGTCTTTTTCAGATCCTTTTGCTCTGCACACTGATCAAACGGGGTTATCACTGCATATTTTTGATGAATCTCAATGAATGCTACTTCTACTGAGTGTAGTAAAATATTAACGACTCCAAATGTTCATTAAATAAATACTTCGAATCATTGCCCGGTTGAAACACATTTCTGAGGATTTTTCTAAGATCACTGGCCATCAGGTTCATGTGACTGGTTTTGTTTCTGGTTTGTAACCCATACGTCTTGTTTATTACAGCCATGTGTAACGTCAACTACTGACGTAACTACGCTTGCTGAACCCTTTTTATTCGCTCCAAACCAGCTGATGGAAACCCACATAGTTTGCAATTTCTCTCTTTTTTCTTTTTTTGAGATGTACGCTTAAAATTGACATGACCATTACATGGAAACATGGTTATTATCGATATGGTGACGGGCTGTGGCGGTTTTGGGGGGGAGTCAATAGAGGCCAGTGCCCCTGTAACACAGACCTTGGTTCCCCCTATGGTCCGCCCCACTGAGCGAAAAGTATACAGCAGCCCTATTGAATTGGCGGCCACTCCATGTGGCCCCGTAATCTAATATAGCCTATAGCTATGACAACAAAAGTAAACTACATATAGGCTATAGTGTATGGAAGTAGCCAAAGAGTGAGCTATATCGTTTCCTTCTCATCTTTGTTGAGTTTCACATGTTTTACCGATCACCGCCAATCAAGGCTCAACATAACTGTCTGACCTGCACACACACACGCACGCACAAACGGATCAAAGTCAGCCAGCTGATCAGCGGACCTTGACAACAACTACGCTCGTTCCCCTTCGAGGGAACTCGAACTACGTCGGTGACGAGTGTTGTGGAGTTGTTATGCGAAAGGTTCGGCCCCATAGACGTGGACTTGTTTGCATCTCGAGAGACTACGCACTGTCCCCTGGGGTTCTCCCTCTCGCCCCCAGCCCCGCTAGGGCTGGATGCCAAGCACCTGACCCTTAAGATGGCCTTTCTCCTCCCTATCACCTCTCTGAGGAGGCTGGTGGATCTCCGGGCACTTTCGGTTTCTCCCCGATGCCTGGAGTTTGCACCGGGGAGGGTCAGGGCCATCCTGCACCCTTGTCCAGGTTATGTCACCGACGCAGTGTCTCGTTCCCCTTCTCGGGGAACAAGGGTTACATACGTCACCCGAGATGTTAGTGTAAGTACGTGGTGCAATAAAAACTTAGCGAGTAAAAATCCAATACTACACACAAAATGCATGTTTTAATCTGCTGAGTCTCTCATCCACTGCAGCTGTGTTTTGGTTTTACACAAGTACGGTGCTACTACTTACTGCTAATAGATCATTGTTACAAACAAGCTGAAGTGAAAGCTGTCTGTCTTTAGTAACCGTTCAGCTTAGTTTGCCACGTACATTAAAATATGACACATTATATACTCAGCTGGCTGAGACAAACCAGCCCTCCTCTCTACCAGCAGCAGCAGAGGGAGGAGGAGAGACTGAGTTGTTCATTTTTTCTAAACTTCACTCAGTATGTTGATGTCAGGAATATGATTTATTTTAACGACATGTTAGATTTGTTTCCACTGAGATATTAATGACTTTGCTGTTGTAAATCCTGTTGCTGCTCTAGAAACAACATTTAGTTAAAAAAATTGTTAAATTATTTTTTTAAAATAATATAAGCAATTATTTAATAATAAATAGGACTGATAAGAGCATCGAAAAATAACTGAACCAATAAGGATTACCAATACAAGTGTGTCACTACAATCCTAATCATCCCAACGCGTGAGAAAATGTCCGGCCCATCTCTGTGTCCTGGTTTTAAAATTCGGTCCCATCGAATTTGTAATTGAACAGCCCTGGTCTACAGTGATCATAGTAATATATCTTCCTTTAGACGAAATATACATTAAACTGAAAGCAACATTGTAGACAATATTTTGTCCTTGTAATCCATGTTTCCATTGCATGGATAGCCTTTGGATATTGCTGGAAATTGTTCTCAATCTCCCTCCTTAAAGGGTAAATTATTATCGTAACAATTTAATAATGCATTGCATTTAAACAGCAATTTTCATACACAAAAAAACAATAACAGTAGCCTACTGGTCCTACTTGGCTGGACATGCAGTCTGCCAAAATATGGATCCCCGTCCATAATGCACAGATGATGGCCTACTATCAAGTATTTAATTTTGTGTATACTTCACATCAGGACTAATACCAGGGGTGAACATGGAGAAGTTTGTTGTTTCCAAGCAAAAGTTATAGTGGGATACTAAACACAAAATGGGATCCAGAGAATGTTTAGTACACTAGAACTTATACTGTTCATTCAGCCTCGCTCTCCTCTTCTTTCTCTCCCTCTGTATGCAACCTCATCCCATTAATGCATGTTACTAACTCGACTTCTCCCCTTTCCGGTAGTCTTGTGCTTTCTCGTCCCTCTCCTCTCTCCTCCTATCACTTCCTGCAGGTGTTTCTGGCTCTGGAGCTGTGGAGTCTGGATCTGTTGCTGCTCGACACCCTCTGCTACAACTATTGTTACTAGTCCTACTGTTATTATAGTTATTATAATCATTAACATTACGATTATTATCATTAACACTACTATACATATCTGTACCATTTTTCATTCAGTCTATAGCAACATCACCTTTCCTGTCTGTACCTCTGTGTGGATATTATGTAGACTGCCTCCCTCCCCTCTCTCTCTCCTTCCATCCCTCTCTCTCTCTTTGTCTCTGTTCCTCTTTTGCCCTCTCTCTCTCTCTCTCTCTCTCCTTCACCCCCAACCGGTGGAGGCAGATGGCCGCCCACCCTGAGCCATGGTTCTGCTCGAGGTTTCTGCCTCTTAAAAGTTAGTTTTTCCTTGCCTCTGTCACCTAGTGCTTTCTGTTGGTGGAAACTGTTGGGCTTCTGTAAATAACATCACAGAGTACAGTCTAGACCTGCTCTTTTATGAAAAGCGCTGTGAGATAACTGTTGTTGTGATTTGGCGCTATGTAAATAACATTGAATTGAACTGAAATTGAATTACAAAGAAGTGTTGCATCAAAGAATGTACTGTAACTTGTGCTAAAGTTAACAGGAATGGGTTTTTTTTGTATAATGTAATTTATTAAAACTAAAAGTTATTGAAAAGAAGTTACTGAAACATACTAAAACATTATATGATATACTAAAGACATCAGGCTTGAACATTTCCTTTGTCTCTTTTGTCGCTGATTGAATGTGCCCCTCTGACAAAACAACTGGCCCCAGTCTGGCCCCCTCACTAAAACTGGTGTAGAACCGCCACTGGTGACAGGCCACCACAAAACAAATAAACGCATGGGAAACACTGCATGGTCAATGTTGTGAAGTGGTCACAGTTTGGTTAGGTTTAGGTAAAGGTGAGAGGTGGTTTGGCTTAAATTTACCCCATTGCATAAGTCACATGATGTAAATCACTTACATAACGTTATTTACCTAAAACTTCAATTAAGTCAAATTTGACTAGGTTTCACATTGGACTCAAACCTAGTTCTCCTGGGTGCGAGTCCTTTGAGTCCGTCATAGGCCTACTTAGTACACCACGAGAGGTCACGGCCTAACAAAAAACAGAAAGATAGGTCATAACATGATGCTTGAACAAACAACCGATACGGCCATTTGGTGAGAAATCAATCCGAAATCTGCCTAAAACTGAATCTTGCAAGAAATGACCTCTAGAAGTCAGTTTCGCACTCACTACACTGTCTATCTCTCACAACCCACCAACACACAAAACTGTAAGAAGCTGTTTGTTCACCTTTAATTTGCTTTAAACGGTTCCTTAAGCATTTCATGGTTACTGTGCTGATGTTTGATCTACAGTGCATTTGCCCATCACGTCACACATTTTTTAAGCTGTGCAGCCTGTGTTCCCTCCCTCATGACCATAGGGTCATGGTAGATAGCAAATATACTGTAAAACAAAACGAGGCAGTGTTAGTGCTACAACAGCAAGCAACAACTTCCCAGAAAACCATTCATTCCATATTAAAAAGATAACTGTAAAACATAATGCACAGTGTTTTACAGTGCATTTGTGTGACGGTGGCTTTTCCAGCTCAGTGATAATTGAAGTCTAGCTCTTCCAGCCTGACTCAGCAGTATTAAACACACGTTACATCACTAGCTTGTGGCTGCTGTTACTCAACCTCAACCAAAGCAGAGCTTTCTAAGCTGTCCATCTCTTTCTACCCCTCATTGTTCTGCACTGATGTGTTTTATTATTTTGAAAGAAACTGTTTGTAACAGTTGTGGAGAGATATTACACTGCGTCAAGACCACAGAACTCCACAGATGAATTTGTTCATTTGTGTGATTTAAACTTTGTGATTCTGAACTTTTGTTATAAAAATAAGCCATTGAACTCAGTTTCCCACAATCCTCCAGGAAGTCACACCCAGGTGTAAAAGCCCATGGACTCAGCTTTCAGGTACGATTGATCAGTGTGACCTATGACCTGCGACGTCACCTCATCAACAAAAC